AGGTCGGGTACCGCTTGTGGCATCCAAGAGGCAGCTGTATATCGGAGAAAGATATCAGATAGAATCAGAAATACACAAAAAAAGCAATGCCTTATGAAAACCACTTACGGTCGAAATTTCATTCCTCGTGGAACGACATCTTCTCTTCCGGAATGAGGTCACGGGTCCTCACCCGAATATAACGACCCATCCAACTCCGATCCTTGTCTTCGTCGATGCTCGACATTAAAGATTTCGATGCCCGACGATGAAGCCTGATTAGTCCTCGAAAGATTTAAGGCTGATACAATCGTATGAGGTGATTTAGGGTGAAATCCATCCCCCGACCTTGTTGGGGAAGAAGCGAAGTAAGGTTACTATGCGCCATAGAGAAGGATGAATTTGACCGAGGGTGACCTGATATCTTTTGCAAAAATCAACGATCACTGGGTCAACGGGACCCAACGTGAAGGGGTAAGTATAAACACTTAAAAACCCCTCCACATGAGTGATGACGCTCTCTTCGGGAGAGAAAATTTGCAACACAACCTCGGGACCCCAATTGCAGTCTTTCCTCACAACCTCGAGATGGCCTTCTATTATCGAGCACATATATATCGACACATGCTCACATCGACCCAGAACCGACGAAGGATTTTCAACCTTAAAATCGATCTTCAGAGTACACGGGCCAGGAACATACTCATGGGGAGGCGGCTCCACCGACGCCTTGTCGCAGGACAGCCGTGAAGAGGAAGCTTTCTCCTTCTGAGGTACGGTTTTTAAAGTTTTTTCCATTGATGTAAGAGAAAGAAAAGCAAAGAAAGATAAAAGGTTGATGGTGCCAAACGCTGATGAAGGTGGCTCTACAAGCGGCAAAATAGAGGCAGAAATAGTAAGAAAATTTGGGAGACTGAAGATGTAAAAGTAGTAAATGATAAATGGAAGGGCTATTTATAGGTTTATGCCATGGCGGTTCAGTATCAGCGGTGGCCGACCACCGTCTGACGTGCATTAAATACCTTGAAAGACTAAATCGACAAGACAGCTATCACATACGTCACAATCGAGCCCAGTAAAAACGTCAGCTTACAATCCGATCGGGTCGTCGAAAATCATATTGTTTCTCACCACATTCTTCCTGAGAAACGAGGGGACTATCTGTATACGGTCGAAATAGATTTCGGTCTCCGTACGTTTGATCGAGTTCAAACGGTAAGCGATCGAAGTGAGAGCTCGAGAGAGTTCCGAGGATAGTACAAACAAGCCTCAAACTCCAAGACCGATCGAGGAATCAGTTCGGTATCATTATCAAGCCCATGACCAAATCGAACCGCAAGGCAAAAAGAAGGTTGTCGGAGGTGCACAGACCGATTGACACTCACCCTGAATATCGAACTCGAACTCAAGGCCGAGGGCTCGACCCAATACCGATCTCGAGCCAGTATCGAGCTCGTAGACAAGAGCCGTTGCAATCGCACTAGGGGAGAGAATCTTGGCAAGAATCGAGGAAGAGATAATTCATCATGGGTTTTTCACTATATATTGTTTATTATAAATAAAGCAAGATCCCTCTACTATAAAGGGGGAATCCTTGTAAGCACAAGCAGGTTGACACATTATAAGAAAAGACTACTTCTATTTATTGAAGAATAAATCTCTTAAGCTTGTTTTACTCAGCATACTCACTCTTCTAGTTCAACAATTTATATCTCATTTCTGTAGCGAAGGATCTAAATATTTCCACTTCTACGTACGATTTATGTCAAGCTATATCGCATATCCTTAGAACCACTTATAAATTCAACTATATCTGATTTTTTGGGTAAACAACTGTAATAATACCATTACTGCAATTATTGACCGAGATCTTCATCTGACCTCATCAGTCCTATTGATCTTGCAAGATAAGATAAGCTCTGGTAGCAACAACAACAACAATAACAAACTCAGTGGAGTCCAAAAATCTAAGCAAAAAAGAAATTTTTTCAATGGATATAAGTGAAATTCATTGAAAACATATAGATAAGTCAACATACAAAATTTGAGGAAGATTGGAGGTGATTTGAACTGGATTTGTATCAAAATTCGTAATTAAACCGAGTTCAACAAATGCTCCTGCGACACATATATCAAACATGTATCACACATGTATGTAACACACAGGTATACATGTGATACACAATTCATACAAATATGATTTATATGTGATACACAGTGTAATACACATATCATTTTTTTTCATGTTCGGTTTTTACTTTGAATTTTTAATTCAAACCACCTCAAAATTTTACCAAATTATCCCAAAACTGAGATTCAAGCTCCTTAAAATGTACCCAATCTATTCTAATAACACTCACTCAAAAGAAAATAAAAATTTGATATTTTTTGCTATAAATAACTAATTGGCTAATATTAGTAATATTTTATAAATTTGTAAATTTTAGTAATGAACTACTTATAAATAAGACATAACAGGTAGTTTCCCATTGTTAAACTAAGAGGAAAAAAAGAAACCTAGCACTAACTGTTTAAGGGAAAGTACCTGGCCACTAAATATACAACAACAACGATAATAACAACCCAATATAATTTTACTAGTGGAGTCTGAGGAGGATAGTGTGTACGCAGACCTTACTCCTACCCTGGGATAAAGAGGCTGTTTCCGATAGACCCTCGGCTTCCTTCCTCCAAGAACTCCCCACCTTGTTCTTGGAGTGACTCGAGCTCACGACCTCTTGGTTGGATCTCATCTTAAATATAATAAAAAAATTATTACCATACGATAGTGGCCTAACCCGGTGAATGTAAAGTTAAAAGGAAAACATATTTAACTTCACTATAATATGTTGAGAGTGGTAATTTGATGTCTAAAGTCTTTGAATTCAGGAGAACATATGCAAACAAAACAGAACCTCTTTCAACAATTAAATATCGATTATCATTGTCTTATTATGATACTCCAAGGTTAAAAAAATTTAAAAAGAATTAAAAACGTGAGGAAAGTGAAGTGCGCTTCAACTGAATAAAGGAAAGCATTTCTTTTTTAATCAGAAAAGAGATGGATCTTTCCACCTCTACAATCTCCAAAAAAGTAAAACAAGAAACGTAAAGTGAGTTAAAAAGAGATTCTCCAAAAAGGGATTGCTGGAATTTTCACTTTTCAAGTGGATGATGATATCATAACTATGTCATTGGCATTAGATTCTGCACTTCATTCTTTTTCAGGTTGAAGTATTTTATAGGAGTATTTTTCTTTTTAGCCAAACCCATCAAATTTATAGTTGGCACGACGTGTCTCGAACAATTCCTACTCCAATCTTTGCCTTATTCCTTTACCAAACTTTTATTTGGACAAACCACTAAATAATCAATTTATATGAGATAGTTTGGTTCGACTCGGAGTTTAAAAAAAAAAAAGACGACTTTTGTAACTTGTGATCTTAAAAGTTTAAGGGGCAAAAGCTTTGTGGGGCCATGACATTTGTGTGGTTATAAAAACTTTTTATTATAGGTAAAATGAAGAGTTTAAAGTTAAATTATTTTTAAATTTAGAAATGTATCATTTATTTTGAAACAAATTAAAAAATAAATTACCTCGTCTAATTTGAAACGGATGGAGTAATAGACACTAGGAGTTTGTGTGTATATGTGGTTTTGCTATATACTCATACTGTACTATCCATTTATAACTTTTGTCTGTTCATTTCAGATACGAAATTAGGGGTAATTGTAAGGGCCATACCAGCATTAATGGCTGTTGATTTTTGTTGGCTAGGTGAAGAATGACATGTACGCGCGCTTTACTCTTTACACAGCACAAATTGCAGCCCGAACACGAGTATCAGACACTAAATGAGAAACCAAAAAATAAAGAAAAGAGTAAGTATATAAAATTTAGTAATAATGATCAAACAAATATTGTAATTAGATCTAATAAACTGCAGATAGATATAGTTACGGATTCTGACTTATCCTAAGGTCTCTACTTGTTTGGTCGTTCTCAATTCTCATCATGCGTATATAATTTAACTTTTGGTATGCCTCCATGTGAGATATAAAAATTGTCAAATGGGTATTGATTACCCCATTACCATAATATCTTTGCGCTTTCAATATTATCTACTTAAAATTAAAATATCTATGGGCAGTAGTGTAGAGGAAACCATACAAATATCTACTCCTAGGCCTTAGCAAGTAAAGGATCGTAGTGTCTTTATCTTGAGGAATCTGAAACATATTGATGTGTGCACCCTCCAATTTAATTTTCTGCGACATTATCAGACTTAATTCAATCAATTTTCAGAGCCAACTTGGACTAACTAATTCATTTTATAAAATTAATTATTGATATTCCTGTAGATTGTAGTACACCTTATAATAATAATAATAATAATAATAATAATAAAGTGTTGATCAAAGCTCACTTAATTTGACCGTGTCAAAAAAGATGCCACCACTCTAGAGATCACAAATTTCAAATAGAAAAATGATCTGTTTTTAGGAGTGTAGAGGACTAGATTTTGTACAAAACCCAGTGACATTATTCTAAATACACGTTTTTCTGTTTCACATCTTTTTCACCACCGCTACAAACGCAATTCCTGGAAATGGACCTTCGGGGGCATGAACCCATCTATATCTTTCATTATCATAACAACTAGTATTTGAAACTCCTGTTTGCTTTATAAACAGAGCAAATAATGCAATCTTCCACTAGAACAAACTTTTGTTTTTGACTAGCAGCACAAAGCCACTTACCACCAAACATCCGATAACAGTAATACAAAATATGAGTATTCCTAGCAGCTGGATTCCAAATTGGTGCACTCATAGGCTGCCACTTATTGATTACTTAGGAACATAAAGACCAAACTTGTCAATAGTGTCAACCAAAAAGTCCCTATCAGTGAGTTAGTATTTTCTTTTTCCAAATTATCATAGATAGAAGAACATCTAAATAAAGCCAAAACAATAATGAAATATCAAGGCAATTATAAGAGATATCATGATACTTCCCAGGATTTTCCAAGACTATGGACATTAACAAAAGTGATTATCATTAGCGGTTAGGGTCTGCATTCTCAAGGATGTTGTGTATGGAAGATTATGTACAATTGGCAGTTAGCTTTGTGAGTCAGAGAAGGAAGGAACCTTCATGTACCAGATTCTAAATCAAAGGAAGAATTACTGTACTGTCTTCCATAAGGGAGTCAACTCTCGAATCTAGTGGAGAAGCTTAGGATGGAATAGTCCTACCATTTAGCACAGTTAGTCAGTGGATGTATCCTACCTTACAAAGTTCCCTCAGTAATTCTGTACAACTGCGCAATTTCCCTCAGCCTGCTGCATAGGTTGTAGCTACTTGCCTACAAAAACATGGTATTTGTTAGTGAACCCAAAATAGAGGCCATACATTTCTCTCTAGTCATTTCAGATAGCCGCAATAAATAGCATGGTGTCCATACTAGAGAGTACAATTCCAGAAGGAATACAAGAGAATTTTAAGATCTCAGAGATAAATGCCAAACTTCGTTATCTAACCAAGCAACCTAGTTACGACTGCATAACAATATTCCTCTTCAACCGCAACACCACTTTTCGCTTTTTCACGTAATTTAAGAGGTATATCGTGGATGGAATAGAAACTCTATTATCTTGGTTATCTTTGAAACCTAATTATTGAATAAACAGACCTGGATATGAATATAGCATCCATCAAAGAGAGTACAAACAGGCCTGGATAGACCAATACCTGAGTGGCCTGCAAATGAATTAGAATTCGAATTATAGTTGCTGTTCGTCACGGCAATGGAGGTGATTGTTAGTACATTAATCACAGGAAACTGGGATGCGATGTTCATAGGTGGCGGATATCCTCCAGAATCAACCATTTGAAGTACATTAGGCTTTTGGACCAGCGGAAGGGCATGATCATGTGCCTGTCCCACAAGCCAACATTAGCATTTGCCGCCAGAAAAATGATCAAGATCAATATAAATCAACTATGCTTCAATAACCATCTAGTTGGGTCAGATAGAAATACCAATATCAATCAATTCAAATCAACTACACCATAATCCCAAACTACTGAGCTATATGAATCCGCTATAGGAATACAAAGATCAGTAACATCTCAAAAAGATATCCGTCATTATTCAGCCAAGCACCAGAAATGTAGGGTTGAGGCGTTTTACCCACATATACACCGGAAAAAAGGAAGACTTTACACATGGAAGATCATAAAACCAAAAAATTAAAGATTTTAAATATGGAAGAGCTAAAAGAAAAAAGAAAAAGAATCCGATAGGTTAAGAAAAGATGTTGATCCTTTTCAATCCAAATAGTTAAGGAATTGAAACGTTTATTTAAATCCTTTACGTGCATACAGGATTTAAAGAAATTTGATTCCTTCAAGAAAATGTATTAGTCCTTTATTTACGTTTGAAAGTTTCAAATTCACTAAAGCATTCTTGTGATTTAAGCTTTCAAACTTCACCATACTGAAAAGAAAAAGAACGGAAGCCTCATTCAAGTACTAACCAGGTAACTGACACCAACATTTTCAAAGGGTATGGGAATATCCTCACCAAAGTGATTTAATCAGTATCTGATTTCAGCACAAATTATCTCGGCTATGGAAGAAGAATCTCTGCAACTGTGTAGTCCCAACTCAACCACAAATTCTACACCAGAAAAGGGAAGAAAAAAGGACGTCGCACCCATAAGATGAGCAACGACAACAACCTCAAACATCCTGAAACGCCAAGCTACTAGGAAATAGAATTGAATTAAGGTTTTAGGTCTAGGGGATAGAGCAAGGATCAGGTCAACTGGATCAGAAGCAGTATAAATGTTTTACATCCTGGAATTGACAAAGACAAAAATTTGTTATCAGGATAAAACAACCATCACCGCAATTAAAAGAACCCGGAAAAGCTATTAGTAGAAGATTTAACTGTAACCATTTTCAACAGGCTCAATGAAGGGTTCACACCCTAATTGATGAAGAAAGAACTGAGGATGGATTTATTATACTTCAGGAAACCCACGAGAAAAAGACAAGAACACGCTGCAAAAGACAACACTACCTTCTGGCCCGTTTGCTTTTGGTAACTACATATTTACAGCCAGTTTGGTAATGAGATTCCATAGTTTTCCTCTCTTTTTTTGTGGATTAAGTACTCTACAGTTTTCCTCCTTGTTGCATCCCCAGGAAATAATTAGCAGACAATCTGACATCTAAAGATCAAGAGGTGACATAGTCTTTGCTCATTGAAGGAGCACTTGCAATGAAAAACTATTGGTTGCATGCTAAATGAAGATAAGTTCATTTGTCATTGCGATCTCAAATGGAGATCACAGTTCTTAAAGGCGAAAAGCACAAAAAAGAACTAAAGTTTGCTTGTGTTTGAGTAAGAAAAACACTGATGAACAGAAAATAAGGAAATAAGAATGCAAGAAAAAAATAACTACAAAAGTAAATAATTATTTGAAAAAAAAGGGCAGTCCGGTGCACTAAGCTCCCGCTATGCGCGGGGTCCGGGGTCCGGTGCACTAAGCTCCCGCTATGCGCGGGGTCCGGGGAAGGGCTGGACCACAAGGGCCTATTGTACGCATCCTTACCCTACATTTCTGCAAAAGGCTGGTCAAGTAATTATTACTTTTGAGTTAATTGTCCCACTTGTGGGATTACACTAGGCATGTTGTTGTTATTTTGAGTTAATTGTAAAAACAACAACTAAGTAAAATATATGAAATAGAAATCATGCAGATCAAGTTCACGACACATTTTAAATTTATCATCTAGATGTAAAGATTACCGGCTTATGTTTTTAGTGACTAGTTTCTTTTTTACACTAAATTCTAATTCCATATACCTAGTCACTAAATAATTCATTCATAACTCTTTGTTAAAAACTAATACATCATATTGCCATATATATATTTGTCTAATGCTGCCCTGATAAACTCACAACCCACTGGCAATTAGGAGCATGCAAAAGCACTAAAGCACCAACTAAGCAAGGAGAAGCTCCACTTGGGCTTTAACTAGCTTAAGAACTTAGCAACTTTTTAACACTGAAGGAGAAAAGAAGCACTAGAATATGAAATGCAATTATAGGCACTAGTTTCTCATGATAAGCAGTGTGTTTTCATTCATATTCTATCAATGTTACAGGATTTTCTATAGGAAGTAAACTCTAGTAATAACTACTTCTATGCCTCAATCCCAAATAAGTTCGTGTTGGCTATATGAAGCCTTAGTGACCATGTGAGGTCATCTCAATCCAATAAAAAATAAGAAAAAAATGGAAATAAAAATTATTCGAATTTCCCTTTAATTTCTATTGGCATATAAAGCTCCGACATGACTAAAAGATCTCTATAAAACATAGGAAGGAAGTAATCTTAGTAATTTGCCACTTTTTCCATTTACAACAAATTTTGATGCATGAATTTGATGAATGGTAATTATCTGAAATAGAAATTAGCCAGGACGGCCCGAGGATGAAGCAAATATAACTACCTCTTCCGAAAGTAAAAAGAAAGAGGTCAAACCTTCTCCTGCTGGTAATCAATTTGTATATGGGAGTTATTGCTATGATACAATATGTCAGCTGGCATAACATTATTTTTTAATACTTTTGGACAGGCAAACTCGCTGCCACTGTCATTACATGATCCCTCATGATACAGATAGCTGAGAGCTGATTTGAGACGATGTTGTCTTTGAGAATAATACATCTTAGTTGCAAGTGGATGTGGAACATCTGGAGGTCAACAGCATACAAGCAGTACCATGTAAACATTAGCATTAGAAGTTAAGAAAAAAGACACTGTAGAAAATTACTCAAAGAAGAAATCACCATGAGCATTAAAAAAAGTGACTTTGGAAATTCTTTTGACTACAGAAGTTTAGGACTTTGTCTTTCTAATATGGAAAATCTGGGGTCGCTATGAGCAACTGAAGGAAAAATGTGAATACTACCTTCAGCCCTCGAACGAAATTTTTGGACTTGAGTGGGAATTTTAACTGCGATAGCAGGACTGCCAGTATTGTCACTGCCTGCACTTGACCTTTCTTGATGCTCTTCACCTGAAACTTCAAAATATAAGCTACAGATGAGCCACTTTAAACAATGAGAACAGACCCCAACACGAATGCCCTCTATTTTCTCCTAAAAGAGTATAGAGAGTTTTCCCATGTGCTAGCTAACTATGTGAACCGCCTTCAGGAGGTAAATCTGTCTTTTGCAACCCTTCACCCCAAGAATAAGGCACCCAAAGAAAACACCGAATTTATTACAGGAAATCTCTTGTTTACCACTCAAAAAGTTCGATAATAAAATTTTGAATAAGACATTTCCACACAATATGTACGGAGTAAAGCCTAACAAGATATATCCTGGTACAACAAACAGAAGTGTGAGTGTTGAATAGAAGCGGATCTCAGATTTTTTACCTTTGCTAACGCCAAAAAATGGAAGTAACAAATATCTTCATTCCAACTATATAGAAAGTAAATATATGAAGAAATATAAATCTGTCCTTACAGGGAATACCCTCTCCCGAATTTGCCGACCAACTCTTAGTAAAAGTATTTGCTGCACCAAAACTACAAAATGAAGAAAAATGCCATTAATTTATGAAATATATCCCAACAAAATTCAAAGAAATTACCCACTTAATTTGACCTGTATATGACTTTTCCCGGTGCACGTCTTTATAATTTAGGAACTAATCAACTGGTAAATTAAAACGACCTGAACTACCCTATAAAGCAAGCATATATCTCAATCTTTAAAATGAAAAAATAATATTGCATTTGCTTCAGGTATGGGGCATCATCAATAGGTTTAATGGTTTTCCTGTCAAGAGACAACACACAATATGCTCCAATTTTAACAACCGTTTGATTCCAAATAATTGTAATAACTAAACATCAAAAGACAGTTGGAATTATGCATTCAGAAAGATGGAGAAGAAAATGCATGAGATTGCCTACACCAAGGGATAAGTGCATACATCTTGGAATGTTTTTCCTGGTGTGAGATTGCACCTTCTGAGCAATCTACAAGTCCAGGACTAACCATGGAACAACTTCTCACGGTGGTCACGTTTAAGTGTGATGAAATTCCTGCAGTTGTAGGGAAATGAACCAGGAAATTTGCAAAATTACTAAATATCAAGCTCCTTGGACTGCAAGGGAACAGAGTAAGGCAATATAGAGGGACACACAGGTAACTGCATAATCATTTTCATTTGGTGAAGCACCTCCTAAGAAATAGAAGCTCCTAGAATTAAAGTTTCACAACCCTCTCCCACCTACATTGTAGCATTAAAAAAGGAACACTTTGTCCTAGCATTGAAAAAGAACTTCTTCCTCAGTTTCACTTTATATGACGGTGTTTGACAAGTTACGGAGTTATGAAAGAGAGAAAGAAAGACTTCTTACACATATCAATAGTACCATTGGAACTTGTGGTCTTAAAGGATTCCACAATATTTCCATAGCTATAAGATCATGTCATTAACTGTAAAATGGGAAGTTAAAGCTTATTTTGGAACAAACTAAAAAGAAAAAAAGTGGCATATAAAATTAAATAGAGGGAGTATAAACTTTCCACTAAAAATGCGCATTTTAATTAATCGAACAAAGTGAGGAACATAATAACAGTACCAAAGAAGCGTCAAGTTGAAAGTAAAAAACCAACGAGAATACAACTAAGCTAAATCCTATGAATCGTCAGTAAAATAAGGAACATGACTACAAGGATCATAAGGAGAACAAAGAACATGAGCAGAAGGAGGATGATACTTTTATCTTCAGGAAAGGAAACAGTTGAAAGATGCTCCTCTGAACAGCATGGCAATGCAGCAAAATCATTTTCTAACAATTCAAGTTTGGCTTGCTTTCTGACTGATCTAGGTTGGTCTATAGGAAATTAAAGATAGCAAATCATTATTAACCAGCAAAAGAGAAGTTATACACCATAACATCAACTTTAAGTATGCCATCAGATCTAAGCTTACAGAAAACTGCAGCGATGATCTCATGAACTTTTCTTCAAGAGCATGAGACAACAAAAGACAATGCTCATATAGGTAAAGGATACTAGAAGATGCAGTTAGTGACTTTTTTCTCTCTTTCCTTGGACGTTTCTTGTGTGCTGCACCACCATTGACCTCCAAAACAATATCTTCTGTGGAGTATAATGACTTACAAAGCTCTGAAAAGATAAAACTGTACACATTAAACATAATGAAAGATATTCATTTAAAAATTGGAGGATAGAGAAGGCAAAAGACACAGTTGGTTTAAGGCTGGTCATCACTTTCCAGACTAAGTTAAGACATAACTCAGCCATGGTGATATTATCTTTTTTAACTTTGGAGAGTTAATATGGATTGTGCAAAGACTCAGCCTACTCGGAAATTTAAGGGTCTTTCTGCGTACATCAACCACCCAAAGAACGAGGTTGATTAGTACACGAGGAGAATAAAAAGATACTGTTTATATATCAAAGAATTCAAGGAGAAGCATTGGAGAGAAGCTACTACTACGACTCAATCACAAGTTACTTAGGGTTGGCAATCCTCATTATAAATTTGGCACTGTTTATTTAGGGTACACCTCTAAGCCTAGAGGTCTTCCACATTTTTTACTGATCTACTAGGGAAGGACAATGTGACATTTATTCTCAAAACACAGGCAACTGTCAAGATGGTTTTTGTCAAGCTTGAAAGGTCAAATAGAAAATCAACACATCAGCAAGAGTTTTAAGATAAAATCTAGCAGAACACATTTATGTTAAAACTAGAAAAGATTGAGATGGTAAGGAGAGATGGACACAGTCCACCTTGTGCAACTAGTTAAAAGGGACAGGGTAATAAGGATTAACTACTGTCACTTAACAGAGAGCATAGTTCTTTATCTGGAGAGGGTAGAGTGTACGCTGACCTTACCCCTACCTTATTGCTTATCAATGACGGCATTTGGTTTCTCGTCCAGTAAATTAACTTTACATGTTAATGTATCCAGGGGTGTAGCCAAGTGATCAATGGAGTGGGTGCAAACCTAGAGGCCAGGATTAAAATCCCACTAAAGACAAAATACCAGGTGATTTCTTCTCATCTGCCTAATCCTTAATGGACATAGTTACCCGATACATGTGCTGGTGGGATATAGCAGGTGCCTGATGGAATAATTGAGGTGCGTGCAAGCTGGCCTGAAGACCATCATTATCATAAAAAAAAAACTAATTTCATGTTGACTCTCTATATCACGTCGACAAATTAGGATATCCCAGTTATCATCATGCTTCCCCCCTCTTTTTAAAATCGAGCTAGCATGTGCTTCAACGATGAGACATTCTTTTTTGTCATTGTGAACAGTCACTATAAATCATTTAGGATTTAGAACAAAATTCCAGACAAGATATGGTAGAAACATTAAAAATATGTAATTAGTTAAGAGCACTCATTTGCACAAAATTAATTTTGAAGAGTCTCTAAAGGGGTTTATAACTTCTGGGTACTCCACTCCCTCTTCCACCAATATCTTGCCTTCCTGGTCTTTGATGCACCTCACTTGATCCAGGTCCCAAGCATTCCCCTCTCATGGAAAGAGATGGCTATGAGACTAGTGCAATCAGGTAATCGACCAAGTAATCCACATACATGATAAAAGAGTAATCCAGCCCTAGTGTACTTATCCACTTGCACGGAAGGAGAAGAATGACAAGGTCTGCTTCCACAGTAAGGATTGCTGCTTAGTCCAATCCAAGAGCAAACAAGGGACGCCAGAGAGGGAACCAAGCACGAAAGTCGGACTGTTGGAGATAGTGTTACAGTAATAATTAAACAAATAAAAGTATCCTCTCAGACAGTTTGAAACTTCTAGATGAGATGGAGAAAGAACTCAATACGGTTGGTCACACAAGCTTTTTGAGAATATACTTGTCCCAGATTGGCTAAGTAAGGGTCTCCAACGGCTCCAGACCTCGACATACAATGAAAGGAGAATATGATCTATAAAAGAAATGAAGAATCCCAAAAAATCCATTACATTGTAATTGTGGCGCTAAGAATAGCATTTTGGAGTTACTTTAAAAGATAGACATTTGCGCTGTCTTAGAGAAGAAATCCTTGAGGGAGGTAATGATTGTGTGACTAGTATCCTATAGTATATCATGTATGCTGCTATTTCCAACTATGATAAGTCCATGCAAATGTAAACAGAAAGAAAAAGCATCTATTAAAATGCAGAAATAAAACTATGCAGAGCAATTGATGTATGACTATAGCAACACTAGAACACATGATGTTTTAAATTATTAAAAACAGAAAAAACCTGCGTGGGCAACGTATTGGCTGGCCTTTATTGGCTTCTTACAAGCATTGCAGCATACCTTAAAAACAAATATTCAAGAATCAAATACTCCACATACACGAGACTACAAATGCAGTGCATTAGGAATGATCATCATGCAAGCAATCATGTAAGTCTTTATGAGGTTATCATCACCTGGTTATATATGTCAAATATTCTTTTTTATCCGTGTTAAATCTACTATTAGGAGAAAATTCCTAACAGATGTCAACCATATGTCCTTGTACGAGTTGAGAGTAAACTCTTTGCCGCTAAACTTACAGAATACGTTCGGAAGGAGACCAAAATTAAACCAAATACTGCCATTATGAGGACAAGCAACAAAGTTAAGGGCTATGAGAGAGTTGTCGTGCACACTTTCCATTCCAATAAGATTCGGCTACTTTTATTTTTATTTTTTTGAGTAAGAAGATTGGCCTACTTTTTTTTTTTTAATGATCGAGAAATCCGTCTGGGGCCGATCCTTTGGACCAACCGCAGCCATCGAAACTCGGTGGATAATGGGTCCGTCCCTCTACCCTTCTCCACTTAAATACCAGGCTTTGCTTTGCATGGTGTGGGGGCTTGAACCTGTGACCTAAGACACAAATCCACCACTCTTTGCCACTTGAGCTAGGCCCTGGGGGCAGACTGGCCTACTTTCACTCTGCCTAAAAAAAGGTTCTCCTATTTCCAGAAATGGAAAACTTTTTCCTTCCAACAATTCAAACTAATATAAACTATTACAACTCTATTATTTTAAATTTGATGCAACAACATTTTAACGAACTACTTCATTTTTTATAGTTTTCAACTACTATTTTGAATATTTCGACATCAAAACCAACCCGTCGCCGTAGCGTACACGAACATTGGCTCGAGGCATTTTCTCTACCCCGTCTTACCCTGAAAAAGCAAGGACACCTTACGTTCTTGAACCGATAACTATCTTGCGGCTAACCTAGTCTCCTCCGCCCCTCGCGAGCAACAAGGGTTAGTACAGGAATATTCACATGTTGTCCATTGACTACACCATTCGGCCTGACCCTAGGCCCTGATTCACCCTCCGTGGATGAAACTTGCGGAGGAACCGTTAGGTTTTACTGTAAAAGGAGTATCATAAATTTTGAAAATTAGACTGTTGGTAATTCAAAAATAGTGTTTGGAAATTAATGATATTCTCGTCTAGTAACAATGTCTAGAGACAACTTTTTACTAGCATCATCATCAAGGATCCATTTGAACAAAATCTGATGTCCTAAACAATCATGTTTTGAGCAAACAAAACGATGTGGAACCCACTTGTTGGGTAGAACAAAAAAGTATCACAGTGTTGACAAGTGTGTGTTTCGTCACATTCTGGCTTTTCAATCATCACCTTTGTGATGACCCAAAAGGTCATCTTTAAATTTAATAATTAATTCTGTGTTCTAAAACCTCGAAAAGTACTATTTATCATTCCTCGACTTGCATGTACAGTCTGTATAATTTTTCGAAAATTTTTTATATGAAAAATTGATTAAAATGTGAAATATAGCCTTAAAACTCAATTAAGTTGACTTTGGTCAACATTTTTAGCAAACAGACCCGGATCAGTATTTTGACAGTTCCGGTAGGTCCGTCTCGTGATTTGGGACTTGGACGTATTCCCGGAATCTAATTTGGAGGTCTCTAACTCAAGTTATGGCCATTTAACGGAAACTAGAAATTTTGGGTAAAGATTTCCAAAGTTTGACCACGAATTTGACTTTTTGATATCGGGGCCGGAATCCGATTCTGGAAATTGGAATAGCTTCGTTATGTCATTTATGACTTGTGTGCCAAATTTGAAGTCATTCTGGATTCATTTAACATGTTTCGGCACAAGATTTATAAATTGAAAAGTTTGAAACTCAAAAGTTCGAATCGAGGTGTGAATTGTAATTTTAGCGATATTTGATGTGATTTGAGGTCTCGACTAAGTTCGTATGCTGTTTTAGAACTTGTTGGTATATTTGGTTGAAGTCCCGGGGTCCTCAGGTGGATTCCGGATAGTTAACGGATCAAAATTTGGACTTAAGGAAAAATCTGAAATTTTGGCCTTCGAGTGTAATCGCACCTGCTGATTTTAGACCGCAGATGCGGAAATCGCAGAAGCGGTCAAATTTCTGCAGAAGCGGAAATGCTGGACAGAACACATAAAAATCGGGAGTTAGCCATTTTTACTCATTTTTGAGTTTTGAGTCTCGGATTTAGGCGATTCCAAAGCGATTTTTCACGATTTTGAATTGGGTAAGTGTTCTATAACCAAAAGTGATTATATTTCATAAATCCACGTCTATATTAATCATTTATTTCTGCTTTAGATGGAAGAAATTGAAATTTTTGTAAAACTTTCCAAAAATGAAAATTTAAGATTTGAAGGTTCATTTGATATCGGAATTTGATAATTTTTGTATGGTTGGACTCGTATCGGAATGGGTGTTCAGATTTCGTAAGTTTTTCCGGATTCGAAACGTGGGCCCCACTGTCAATTTTTTGAGATGAATTTCGGATTTAAATCAGAAAAATTAGTAAATTCATATGGAATTAATTCCTACGATTTGTATTGAGTATATTGAATTGTTTATGACTAGATTTGAGGATTTCGGACACGAATTCGCGAGGCAAAGGTTTATTGGATTCTTGAACTTGGTTGCAAAGCGAGGTAAGTGTCGTGGTTAACCTTGACTTGAGGAATACAATTTGCTATGTGAATTTCATGTGCAACGATGTATAGGCAAGGCGACGAGTGCCTATACTTTGTCAATTTAATTCTTTGCTTAATTATTTAAACATCTTAAATTGTTTTAAGACACGAATTAATTGTTACAATAATTTTTTCTCTCCTATTCCTTGTCAAATATTAATTCTTGAATTCCTGTAATAATTGTCACATGCTTATTTGATTTATGTGTCTCAATTGCTACTTGACATTTAGCATATAAAATATTATACTGCCTATTTTCTCCCTGATTTCCACAATTAATTGCAACTTGTCATTGTTTGTTTCATAAATGAATTATAATTATTGTATGCCTTGATGCTTAATAGTTTCTCATTGAACGTGGTATTTATTGGAGTATTTTTATTACATTTAAGAGTTGTTAAAATATATGGGGGGGATCGGGTTGCACGCCGCAACGGAAATGAAAATAAATATATTGGGGGATCGGGTTGCACGCCGCAACAGAGTTGTTTAAAGTTTGCATTGGGGAATCGGATTGCGCGCCGCAACAGATTTATTTAAAGTTTATATTGTTGGAGCTGGTTGCACGCTGCAACGAAAATTTATTGAGGAATTATATTGTTGGGGCGGGTTGCACGCCGCAACAGAATTGATTGAAATGAATATATTGGAGGAACGGGTTGCACGCCGCAACAGAATTAATTGAAATGAATATATTGGAGGATCGAGTTGCACGCCGCAACAGAATTGAATGTGAATATATTGTGGGATCGGGTTGCACGCCGCAACGAAAACTGATTGAAATAATAATTGGTTATGACTGCCGAGTTGGCTTCAATTGGTTATTATTATTATTATTGCGTACATGTTAATGTAAGTGACCTGCCTTAGCCTCGTCACTACTTCGTCGAGGTTAGGCTCGCCACTTACAAGTACATGGGGTCAGTTGTACTGATACTACACTCTGCACTTCTTGTGCAGATTTCGGAGTTGGTCCCAGCGGCGTACTGTAGATTTTCCCGGATACAGCTACCAGTGGAGACTTGAGGTATAACTGCACATCGTTCGTAGTTCTGAAGTCCCCTTCTATCTTATCTCAGTTGTGTATTATATTTCAAACAACATGAATTTTATTCAGACCTTTATTTGTATTATTCCAGAAGCTCGTGCACTTGTGACTCCAGTTCTGGGATGGTATTTAGATATCGCGATTATTATGGAATACTCACTTTATTTCAGACTTTATATCCGCATTGTTTCCTTGTTATTAAATAAATTTAAAATTTTGTTAAAATGGTTAGTTATATTCTAACGTTGGCTTGCCTAACAAGTGAAATGTTAGGCGCCATCACGGTCCCGAAGGTGAGAATTTCGGGTCGTAACAAACTCCCCCAACTTCTTCATGATCTTTGCTTTTTCTTAAAACAAACTTTTTTCAACATATATGTACTATATCTCTGTGCGTGTGTCATATACACACACATAGCGAAAAGAAAAAACAGAAAGATATTTAGTAGGTTCTAATGAATTAATCTCATCCGTAGGAAAGCCTCAAACATGATTTATAGCTTTAATAAGAAATTCAAAAGACAAACACAACACTAGTTCCTCCAAAAAACACAAAACCAATTCTTTCAAATCCTAACACACTAACTGTTCTCCAACAACAAAACAAAACAATTTGGTTTCTAAAACCGAAATAAAAACCAAGTGCTTACGATGACTAAATAAAAACCAAAATAATTTAACTTTTCTAATCCATTATGATGACTGAAGGCGCTAAAATTGAATAAGGTAGACTTAATAAACACATGGATGAGAATTGTTAGAAATGACTTTCTCAAAAGGTGGATTAGTTAAGAGTAGAAGACAATGGACACAAAGGATCTATATATACTATACTGGAAGTAGGAATCAGGCGTAGTTGTTGTCAAAATTAAACTAAGTGCTTACCAAAATCCTTTTTATTCTAGTTAGAGACTTCAACATCCATGTAAGGATAAATGTAAATTTTGAGAAGGACCATAAATTTTGTATTGTGGACTCAAATAGAACAGAATGGTTATGGAGGATTCATATTGTCAACCCGAATTGTTTTGGGATTGAAATCTAATTGATTGACTGAATAAGAATTTTGTCTCCCTTGTACAGTTGCTATTATAACTTCATATTAACATATACCATTGTCCCTCCCCTTAATATAAAGGTGTAATTTCTTCTAATGGCAGCACCGCAGCAGCCAAAAGAATATCTTCAATTTATTCGTAACTTCATAGTTTTAAAATACTATCTTCAATTTCTAAATTTAAAATTCTATAATACAGTAACACTTGAGCTGAGGGTCTATCGGAACCCGCCTCTCTACCTTCACAAGGTAAGGGTAAGTCAACGTACACATTAACCTCCCTAGACCCCACTTGTAGGATTTCACTGAGTTTGTTGTTGGTGTTGTTGTTATAATACAGTAACTAATATCTCTTCATATGTTTAAACTCAATCAAGATATCAAAGTCCAAAGGTCTCATTTGTTCTACTATTCCCACGAATATCATCACATCAAGTCCTAGGGTAATCACTTGCCAAAGTAGCATAACCCTGCAAAACCAGCCCTTTCTACTTTAGTTGATCGATACATTTTATCAACAGAGCAAGCGCAGTTGTTTTTTTCCCTTACTACCTTTTTCAAGCAAAACATGAAACAGAAGTTCCTCCTAGATTCTCTGATTTTTTATTCCACATAAGATGGGTAATTTATCAGAGTAGATGCTGAAGGATGTGGTTTCTCCAGCAGTTTCTCCTCAGACACATTCAGACAAAAGTCAAAGCTGAGTGTTATAAGTAGCGGTACAGCCACTTGTGACCCAATTTCTGCCTTAAAACATATGGCAGTCCACGCACAGCCCTGCAGATAAAGCTTATTTAGCTATATCCGAGGTTAAAGAAAACATGTATGGTACTGCATTTATATCGTTATCATTCTATTTTTCATGTTTTTTTAATACTGACATAGACAAAAAAAGTCGTACTCTCTTCTAAACTGTGTGCACAAATGTGAAGCAATTATGGGATGAGAACTTGTCTAGCAATAAAATTTTACGATGATATCAACAAGTACGATGATCTTATTCCAGAACTAACAGGTGCACTTTTTGGACCTTACCAAATGCAAAGGATCAGTAAGTGGCCTCAAACCAAAAACGTGCATATCTGCAAAAAGAGCATGTCAATGTACTTGAAGAATAAGAGCAAACAGTAGATGAGTTAAATGGTAAACCGAATGATACACCTGAAACTTCAAAGCTTGCTGCACCGAGATTTCTTAAACTAGTATTTACCTAAGAATTAAATTGTGAATCTAGATAAAAAAGTAGATCTTTATCAATTAAGTGAGTAAATCAAGCCAAGATCACCATGAACTTTTTCTCATCTTCCCCATCAAGTATCTGGACCAGAGGTGCAAAAACTAGAGAACATAAGTACCTTCTTCATCAATCAAATTTACTTCATCTGCCTCTCTCAATTCTCTTTGAATGTACTGAGCAGCAAATTTAAGGCGGCCTGCTTCATCTGCCAAGGAAAGAAGGCAGTGAGAAACAGAGGAAATAATCTCAACAAACAAAAGAAAAAAAGATTTAGTGGGAAAAGCAAATAGAAGGATATAAGACAACAAGGAGTACACTGGACCAGGTCAAGATCTATTGCGAACATGATAGGGCACTATTAAATGCACATATAAGCACATAAACCATCTAAATTGAGTTGTATTATTCACCTGAAGCTGCCTGTTGGATATTTCCAGCTACAAGAAGCCTTGCCAAGGCTTTCATTCTCCCACTTCCAAGAGGACATACCATCAAGCTTTGAGAATCTGCAATTCAAAAAGATAACTTTCCAGTAAATTTGAGGAATTTTATGCTAGAAAACTATGTTCGATTAAGTTATGTACTAAGTGAACAACCTATAATTCTTGACGCAAAGGAAGGACAAAAAATACGACATGCAGAATAAAGAGCATAATAAAACTTCAAATGGACTTCCACCTCATGGCTGCAGTAAGCACTCCTAGCCTTACAACTTACAAGTCCCTTTCTTTCATCATTAATAGTTCCACTAGTATACATACCCGCGCCATGAGCGGATAATATTCAGAAAATAAATGGCAGAAAATGTTATAAGTAAAAAATAGTAAAGACATATGATACTTCTTTTAATTAATTTTGTCTTACCATTCAAAAAACTACTTTTACATATAGCACCGATTCTAAGATGGAACTCTGTCTATGAAAAAATGAAAAAAAATTGCAATCGAATAGATAGTTTTTTAAGTAATATACATGTATGAAAAATCAATTATATATTAATAAAATTACAAATGTATAAATATATTTAGTAGAATTAGAACCAAGGCGAACTACATATTTTATTATCAAGGTGTAAGGGACATTAATAAACAATTCTTTCTTTCTTTATCCTGTAATCTTTGTCTATTATCCATCTTTCAAATAAACCCCTATTATGCCAATCCCTAAATTGCATGTTTTCTTCCTTCTTTCCTTTTCTCCCTCTCTCCTACGATTAACTGAAAAAAGATTTTGCTCCCTTTTTGGTAGTCTACGAAGTTTTAAAATATACATTATATTCCTTTCTATCTCAAGCACTGAGATATGATTACCTTTCGAGACTCTAGTAATTATTAATATTAGATATTTTTAGTGTTGTATAGACACACCAAAGTTTCTTTGATCTCATATGATTCAAAGTTGAATTATTAATAATATTATGTGATTTAATAATCAGAACAATTTCTGTCCCAAAAAAGATGCAGTTTTGCTGCATCATCACTCGAAAAAAGATAAACTATGATCAACCCCCTATTCTTAAAGAACGCTAGCCTTAAAGTTGTAACATCACGGAAATGTAAGACAAGAAGGAAATGGGTAACAAAAAGAAGTCGTCAGGTGTGGTAAGGCCATTATAACAAGCTAACTTCTGGATTATGAAAATCAAAATTTTCCTAAGAATGTAGAAGTAACCTCGACCAATAGACTCGTGTAGTGGACCCTTTCGTTAAGAAGATGTTACAAGTGCTTTGTTAAGTGCATTACATGTAATAGGATATCTGTTTATGAGTGTAAAACCTATGATAAGAGTGTCACGCATAAAAGTAAAATAAATTGAGGAAGTTGCCCGGATTCAATCAATCTGTTAATCAACAACTTAGTCAATCCCAAATTAGTTGAAATAGGTTATAAAATTCTCTGTATCCATTTCGCTCTGTCGAGTATTTGGAGGATTCGTCATAGTTAGACCATGTTATGTTGGATATCAACCTATGGGAACCCTACCCTAAGTAATACTCTGGAAAAACTAATGTCAGGCAAAATTAGAACTTCCAGCAACAACTACTACTAATGTTACTGCAACTATGCCTCAGCCCAAACAAACTGGGGTAAGCTATATGAATCCTCGCTGACCACGTTACTCCATTAAAAATTATCTCATGTCAATATTATGCAAGTACAAAGAAAAGTACTAGAAGTTCTGTATATCTCATAAATGTATAAATCTCTGAAAGGTTAAACCACTCCTAGAAAGCATAAAACCTACAGCAAAATTGCTAATGTCTAAAACATATCCTCAACTAATATGTATCACCAATATAGATATTTTGCTTCCATTATACCCTATCTTTTTCCAAGTCAGTGCGGATCCCCAGAAGTTGTAGGCCCTTCGATATAACATCATTCCACATAATTTTAAGTCTACCTCATCTTCTTTTAACACCTTCACTCATCATGGTTTCACACCGATGGACTGGTGCATCTGGAGGTCGACGCAGGACATGACCAAATCCTGTCAAGTGACCTTCTCTTGTTTTACCGTGATGTGTGCTACTTGAACCTTCTCGCGGATGTGATCATTTCTAATCTTATATAATCTTGTATGAACAGTACTCCCATATTAAATTATCAAGAATCCATTCTCAACAAAAAAAAAATATACCAATGATGAAAAGTTTCAGTTATCCAACAAAAAATGTGGTATTTTATAAAGGAAATCCATAATGCATGTCCTGATATGTAGCAATACGTGAATGAAAAAAACTAAATAAATATCAGTGAGTGTTCCCACAAAACTGGTATGTCAAGTACATTGATCATGAACTGCACATTTGGCACAATGCCACTACTGAAAGTCAGACATAAATTGTTAAATTGACGAAACAATTGATGAGTTATACTTCGATGAATCCATCATAAAACGCTTATAATAGAATTAAAAATAAAATTTTCTTTTCAGAAAAATAAAATTAATTGAAGAAATGGATAGCATAGCGACATTACCAGACCTCACCTTCGGCGATCAGTTAGAATTTCGATAGAGCGGATTCGGTGGGTAAACGATGAGAATTGAGCGAAATGTAGAGCAAATTCGGGGAAATTCAGTTTGAAAATGCAAAAGAATGGATAAATGAGGGGGGAAATGGCAATGCTGATCATTGAAACCCTAGAATTCCATTGGACGAACTCGGCATACTTGAGTGCAGAATTCACGTAACCGATGAAAGGGGCGAAGGGGAAAAAAAGAAGAGGTGGAGCAAGGAAGCCAAATAAGCGAGAGCAGTTTTAAATGTTTACACCATTTTAATTTAAAAATCAAACTCCCATCTCTACTAGGACTCTAGGACTCTAGGAGTATTATATTATTCTTCCCCTTATTTCTTAATTAATTGATTTTTTAAAATACCTATTTTTAAAACAAAATTATAAGAAATATCATATAAAATAAAATAAAAATAGCATTACATAGAGGAGTGAATTGAAAATGACAAGGACAAAATAGATATTGTGTAGGATAAAGGGAGAAGAAAGATAATTGTTCGAAATTGAAGAGAGAAATTGAATTTTAAAACAAGGGTGTCGATGATTTTCACCCATTAAAATCTTATATTAATGAATAAAAAAAAATAAAAGATGTGTAAAGTCAATAATGTAAAATTACAAAGTTTTTAAGATTAGCGTCAGCTCGTCTTTCTTTTATTTCATTTCTTGGTTCTTCTTCTTCTAGCTTTATGGCTTATTTTAAGCTTTTACCTTATTGCATTAAGTTACCGCTATGTACGGGGTCCGGAAAGGACCGAACTACAATTTTTATTTTTTATCATAGCTGTATGATTAGTGTTTACCCAACATATATGAGTAGTGGTATTAGTCTTTACTTGGTTATCTGAAAAAACTTTGGTGTATTTCATTATAAACCTCATTTAAAACCAGGTCATGTTCTTTCTTTTGAAGTCTTAAGTGAGTAAAGGAGAGGACATTCATTTAAAGATGTGCTGATCGAAACCTGTACTGCAAATGATCTCCTAGTTGCACCTTCCTTTCTTTGTAAGGGGAGGTACAATTTCATGTCACTTACAATTACATTTTTCAAATGTTATATTGTTAATTTAAAACCAATATATAGTTTGAAACATTAACGACAAAAGAATTTCCAAAAAGAGGACATTGGAATTTCCAAATTACTATTTAACCTCAATATTTTTCATTACGCAAGTCAAACATGCTTGGGACATGATTTTCACCTCGGGAACTAATCTAATATTTCACTTAAAATTGAAGAAATTTATGAAAGTGTAAATAACTTAAAACCAGAATGAAAAATAAAAAATATACAGTGGCAAGTATATTTTTATTAAGGTTAAAGTGTTTATGCTATAAATGATAGTTAGAAAACTTTAATGATAGTTAGTACTTAATATGACCAGTTATGGCCTTTGGGACGTGGTTAGTCATGGCACAAAAAGCGTCAATCTACTCGAATTACAGTCTAGAAGATAATGTAGAATAGCACGACTATTAAGTATTTTTCTAGAGTATTAATTAAATAAGATCCTGTGCAAGACACGTGATAATTAATTGTGATTAAGTACTAATAGTTCTAGTTAAATAAAATGACATGTGCCATTTGTTAATTAAGTTAGTTGTAAACATCCGTGCAGGTAAGCTTTTACCGAAAAATATCTTGTTTGTATCAAATCTTATAGTAATTTATATTAGAATTAAATATATTAAATTAAATTTTGATACAATTAATTAACATAGTTGAAGATTATAATAGTAAAAATATCTAAATATACCTGGACTATTTTTGAATTTTCAATTGTACACCTGTATTTTTTAGGTCTTTTTGTCGTTCGAATTTTTTTCCGGATGAACCTATTATCACTCTGAGTATGACATTATAGAAAAATTTAGTTTTACATTTTGGAGTGTGTGAAAACATGAAAAGAAACTTTGTCTTTGTGAAAAATATTTCCCATAACCAAAAAACCTTTGTTGCTATGACCATTGATACAAACCACCATTACACTTGCAAAGTACATTTGCAATTACAAATCTAGGACAAGTCTGAGAGTACTTGTACTTTTTCTCTTTGAATATATACTTGTACCTTATATTGGCTTTCTTCATCTTTTCAGTTAGGTGTTACAACTTTCAAATTTGCTTCTCTTTTAATTTTTACTCAAATCTTCTTTTTTCATCTTCTTTTCTTTTCCTTATATTTTCTTCTCTTTGAACTTCACAAATTCACCTCATTATTGGTCCATCAACCCATATATAACTATATATTTCAATTTAACCTAGCCTAGACTTGACCCGGAGATCCACGAGAGTAAAACGAGGAATTGAGACTAACTAGTAAACCAAGTTAACTTGATTCCCCTTTGTTTCCTCTCTTTTGCTGCAGGTAAAAAAATTATTAATTATTTCTCCAACAAATACGAGGGAATTGGACCTAATTTCTTCATTCTCACCAGAAATAGTATCTTAGAAAAAGAGAATTAGCCCTTATTCGATGACGAATACTATCAGGGGCGGAGTCACAGTGTTAGTTGCGGGTTCGATCGAACCCAATAGTTTTTGTTCAAATTTTGTATTTGTATTAAGAAATTCAATGAATTTGTATAAATTATTAATTTAGAACCCAATAACTTAAAAGGATTATAATCTCGGACCCATTTGGTTCAAATCCTAGCTCCGTCGCTGAATACTATATAGATTACTAGCGGACTGAAAAAGGACTCGAAACGTCAAACTACTATTGTAACGACCCGACTTGTCGTTTTAAGAATTTACGTTCCGTTCGGTGGCTTAAGGTCTCGAGCAACTTTAAATGTGTATTATAAATTGTGAGGGTGGTCAAGTTTGATTTTCGGATGATTCACGATCAAATTGGAAGAACAATTTTTATTTAAGAAGCTTAAAAGAAAAGAGTTAGACCGGAGAGTTGACTTTTGAGAAAACAACCCCGGAATAGAGTTTTGATTATTCTAATAGTTTCGTATGGTGATTTCGGAGTTTGGACTTAGGCGTATGCCCGGAATTAGAGTTGGAAGTCCGTAGAATAATTCAGCGCATTTTGGCGAAATTAAAAAGTTGATGTGTATTAATTATATTATTTTGTGTGCAGACGAGGACTATTAATATGATGGATATCAATTGGATATGATAATAAGTGTAGAAGACATATTATAAGTGATGTGTGGTCTAAGAAGAGCCCCAAGGCTAAGTCAAGTTGGAAATTATACGATGGGGTAAAGTTTCAAGTGAGTTCGCACAAGACCTAAATTCAAACGAGCATAACTCTCAAGATATGAAGCGTTATATGGTGTATGACCTATCAAACGAAAGGTCTATGTGTCTAGTGTCTAATAATTCAAACTGTTTGTCATTTTGGAGAATCCTATAAGAAGTTCTGACCTTTTTACTAAGGGGTGGCAGAACAGCTACGCGAGCCTTGCGTAGCCTATGCAGCATAGCAGCGTAGCCTACGCATCATTCCGTAGGCAAATCCAGCAGCTTCCAACTGAAGGGGGATAGAAGTCTACCTTGCATAGCCTTTGTGCGCAGCCTACGCATGAGGCTACGCAGCTTCAAGGGATATTTTAAACGGGCTGAAACAAGGGGTTTAGAGAGAGAAAATATTAGTTCTTCAACTTAGAATTGATTTCTAGAGAGAAGGAGGAGCTCTTCCGCCATGGATACACTTCAAGGTAAGTTGTTTGGCACAGGGATAATTATATAACATCATTTAGTGATAACACTAATATTTTTATGGATCAAATCCATAGAAAATGTGTTGAATCTTCAAGAACACCAAAAAGAGGAAAAGTGAGATTCTTCCATCAAGAGGTAATCCCTTCACTTGAGCTTCATATATATGTCATATTGGAGTATGGGTAGCATGTTTATGAGTTTTATTTGAAATTATAATGGGATATTGCATGAACCCTAAGGGTGGGTCTTGAGAATGCCATTTTTGGGTAAAGATGGATAGTTGGGAGTATGATTCTTGGGTGTAAGAGTATTATTTATACATACACGTACCAATAAGGTTTGTGGAAATATTATTGAGTTCAAATGGGTAAAGATTGGGTTGAAAATGGTAGAAAGTTTCAAAAACTTTAATTGAAGATTTGAGGGTCGAGTTGATGTCGGAATTTAGTAATTTTGGTATGGTTGGACTAGTGGTTGAATGGGCGTTCATATTTCGTAACTTTCATCGGATACCGAGATGTGGGCCCTAATGGCGATTTTTTAGATAATTTTGAATTTTTTTGGAAAATTTAGTATTTTTATATGGGATTGATTCTTATAATTTGTGTTGATTGTAATGAATTATTTTTGGCTAGATTCAAACCATTCAGAGTTGGATAATCGAGGAAAATGTCTACTATTGGATTGAGATAGCTTGATTTGAGGTAAGTATCTTGCCTAACCTTGAGTGGGGGAATTAGCCCGTAGGCATCGAGTCTTATGTGCCATTTGTGAAATGTAAAAAGTCGTGTACGCGAGTTGACGAGTACGTACTCGGACTTATATGTACAAATTTTATTGGGTTAAAGTCTTAGGCATATTGTGTAGTAAATTGGATAATTATTGGTATTTATTAAATCATCTATTTGCCATGCCTCAATTTGCGTTTGTTAAATTTATTTTTATATGACAATTTGATGTGATTATCAATTATATATTTATGTGAATTCCATGAGTTTGGTGATTTGATATTTCCTGGAAATAATTATATTATGAATTTTTCATCTGCAAATAATTAATGAAATAAGTTTAAACTGAGGCGTTAATAAAATTATCAAAAATTTGGATTAATGAATGCGTTGCCCTATACTAAGTATTTTCCATCTCTGTTGTTGTTTTAAGGTTTTATACACGTTGTGTGGAACCTTGAGCTATTTATTGTAAAATTAATTGATTTTGCTATATCTTTGGAATTGGTTGTGGCCATTGGGCAAATTGTGATATGAATTTATTTTGTTATATTGCTGTGATAATATTCCGTGTAAATAGTTATGTTATTTGAATTATTATTTTGAGGATATAAGGGTGGCATTCCACTGTTGATACTATGTGGGTATAAGGGTGACATTTCACTGTTGTTATGTGTGTTGGGATATTGTCTGGTCGGAGTGATATGGGCAGCTATAGGAGAGATAAAGGTGGCTATAGGAGCGATAAGGGTGGCTATTGATATTGTCAGGGCGGAGGGGGAGGCTATTATAGGAGTGATAAGGGTGGCTATATGAGAGATAAGGGTGACTATTGTCAGGGATGATATGTGATGATGTGGAGTTA